CATTTGTTTTGTAGTTTGTTTATATTCGTGACCTTAAGAAGATATGAAAGTTCATCTTTAGAATTCAAGAGTCCTCTATAAGAAGGAAGAGATTTGGGTACTTAAGTGACTGTTGTTCTTTCAGTAAATTAGATTGGATTTTTTTCCTGTCATGGATGGTCTCCTTGTAAAATTGTTTTCAGCGTGGAAATCAGTGTGTGAAGGCATGCAGTTCAATGCTCCAGAAAGGTTGCAGAAAATCTGATATAACATCCTGTTGTCTGATTAGCTAACAACACAGAAATTAAGATTATAAATGCAAAATAAAAATTTCCTAACAAGCCGTCATTAACAAGGAAAACTTGCTTTGGTAACAGTTCAGGAAACTTGAGATTTAAGATACATTATGAATATTTATAAATACAAGGTCGAAGTTCTTTCAGCCTATTCTGGCAGAGTGAAGCTCCTGCTTGACTCAAAAGATAGAACTAGTCAGTTCTAAAAGATGGAACTAGTCAGTTTTTCATGTCAAATTTCATTCTATTTGAATATGGAAGTTATATAAGTCCCTGCTGGAGGCTCTGAGTAGTAGCAGAAGCTTTTGGTCCTTGCTCTGCTGCCACTGACTTTTCATAACCTGCCAGCAAATTGCTGCAGAAAATGATTAGCTTATAAAGACTCTGGGGGCAATTTGGGGAAATGAGCATTCTTATTTTTTAAATTTTTAAATGTGCCATTGTGTGTGAGGGTCCAAATGTTGACATGTTAAGATCAGCTTTTTTTGCATTATAATTGTAGTTTCTGGAATATTTCCCCCTAAAAGTCTGGCTGAAGCAAGATTTTTATTTTTCTAGAAGTCTGGGATGAAAATCTTATGCAACTGATTTCTGAGGGTACTAACCAGGACTTGTTCATCTCACTGGTGGGACAGTGAAACTTATTTTCAATTATTTTTGTATGACATTCATTCCGGGATTTCTTAGGCGTTTCCTGAAAGTGAAATTCATTCTGATCTAGCTGGAAAAGGGCAAAGTTTAAATAAATTTTAAAGTTTAGCAAAATAAAAACAAAAAATGGAAGGAGACAAAGAAGACATTGGCAATTAAAAGAAAAAGATGATATTCTTCTGATTGGCAAAGCCACTCAGATAGTCTTGGGATGAATCCAGTTAAGAGCCAAGTGATACATTTTCCTGAGATTCCTCTTGTAACTTTTCTTTAGGAGGCATCTCTAGGTTGCAGGAAGTTTTAGACAGTGCATGGAAGGAGCCTTGTGACTGAGTGTGAAGGAAATAGCCTACATTCAGATACAATGCTTTTTGGTGCAGTTATGTTAATTGGTAGCTTCAGTAAGCATTGCATTTTTCCAAAAATTTTGTTCTGAGCGTGAGAAAGCTGCACAATTATCAACTTCTTGCTATGAATGGAGAAACAGTAGAGAAGAGAAAATGATACATTCTACATTCAGACAGTGACTGCAGGTTTATTCAGGGCATCTCTCTCTTAAAGCTTCAGCAGGTCTAAGATGAGATACCACTATGCCTCAGGGCTCTTGTATGTGCTCCTGTTTTCTTTCTTTCTTTCTTTTCAAAAAAAATAAATTAAAAAGAGGAAAAGTCATTAAACTCTGATTTACTGCGATAGGAGAAGTCTTCATTATGACACTGTTATTCTATTCCTTCTTTTTAAAATACTAAATTGGTTGTTAGGGTTCTCTCCTGACTTTGTTTCACGGTAGTCTATTTAAAATACTGTTTCAGTAATCTCAGCAGCTCTTTTGTGTTCTTACTGTTTCCTGTTGTGTGTTCACTCTTATTCTGATAGCCACAAGGAAGCAAAGTAATTTGTGTATCAATCTCTGACTTTATTTCTTTTTTCATAGGAATCTGTAAGATTCTTGAGCAGAATGACACAGACCCCTGTATCTTCACAACTCACAGCCCAGTTGAAGCCACGGTGTCATTTATGAGGCTTTCACATTTATAAATTTAGGATGGCAAATAGAACTTTCTGACCAAAATTTCTCTTGTAGTATATTTTCTTCTATTCACCCAATTAACTGAGTCTATCATTCTATTTTTGTTATCAACCAGATGATCCCTCTCATTCACAAGTAAAAGTCATATTTTTTGCTAAGAAATTCAAATGAAAAATCCTAACGAAAAAACGGAAAAGAGGAAGCACTGATACCTTGGGCCAGGTGGAGTGTTATGAACTAAATAGCTCCACTGTGTTGGACATCCCATCCTAAAATTTTTATCCAAGAATTGTAATTTCCATTTAAATGTATAATATAGTTAAATCTCTATTTTTATTGTTGGTGGCCACACATTGTTTCTTACATACTCCTGAAAGGTAAAGACAGTGGATTGCTCTTACAGATACCAATGTTACAGTACATGAAATGGCCAAGGAACAGAATCTGTGAGGACTGGCCTATGAGACTTTTACTGATTTTCACAGTTATGGGGTCCCTAATCTCTCATACTGGAGGTATCTGGTTTGAGCTTGGATTTCAATTAGCAGCTAACCCAGTTCACCCATAGGGAAGAAAGGAGCAGAACAAACAACCAGACTCAGGACCCAGACTGTGCTGGCAAAGATAAGAGCAGAGCTGTTGCCTACTGCCACTGATCCTGTGCAGTAAGAGGCACGGACATTTTGCAGAATAATTGGAAGGAAATGAAACCTCTAGAAGCTATAACAAAGTCATAGGCTGGGCTGCTTGTAAACAACAGGGATTTCTTTTTCCCACTTTGGAGGGTAGAAGTCTGAGATCAGGGTGCCAGCATGGTAGGGTTCTGGTGAAAGCCCTCTTCCAGATTGTAGACTACCATCTCCTTGTTGTACCTTCACATGGCAGAAAGAGAGAGAGGAAGCAAGCTCTTTTCTGAATCTCATAAGGACACTCATCCCATTCATGAGGTCATGATGTCATCTAAACCTCTAGTTAGCCCCCGAGGCTCCACTCCCTAACACCACCACATCAGAGGGCAGGGTTTCAACATACAACTTTGAGGAGACAAACATTCTTTCTATCACAGTGTATATGCAAAGATCAGGAACATTCTAAAATTTCATAAGAGTCTTTTAACCAAGGGGTGGCCTCTCATTGCAAACTCTTTTAGGAGAAGAATATTATGAGACACATAGAGGTGAGGTAGAATACAGAAGATAAGTCTGAATTATATCAAAGTAGATTCTACTTTTTTTTGTGCCCTTAAAGTGTTTTCATCAAGGCCTTAGTAAGGAGGTTAGAACATAATATGTAACTTTATTTTATTTTATTAAGTTATGTTTAATACACTTATATCACAAAAGCTGAATGCCTACCAGTGACAAAATGAGGGTTAGTTTTGTCATTCAGTAATAAAATCACAGAAAATTATTGTACATTCACTGAGGGTAGTATCCTTTAGAAAAGTAAGCATTGATACTATGAAATCATTGTGGATGGTCTCTATTAGAAAACTGCCACTGACCACCTTGGAGACTCTCATCTGGGAGGATATATTTCCCTTGAGTCACTGAAGGTAACCTTGGTCAGAGGATCTGCAGGGTCCTTAGGCGTTACTAAGGGTATCATTCCTTAAGAGGGTTGTGCATAACCCTAGAGTCACTCTGAAAAAAGTTGGTGCAATCAGACCCTTTGGTTTTGAGATATGCAAAACAAAAGAGATTTAGCAGTTGGGCACGGATCTCAGAAGATAGGAGAGGAACTGTTCATAGGGGCACATGATATGAATGCTAGAACCCACTAGAATCCAGCATTCTTTGGTTATCTGGAGCTTGGGTAATGTCATGAGTTCATGACATTGGAAGTCCAGGAAAATTTTCTCATCCTTTGGAGGTCAGACATGAGGTATCTTCAGCCAAACTGATACTGGAGGAATTGGCTCACCCTTTGGGGGCTGCATCAGCAGCGATCTGACACTCTCAGACCATGCGGGAGACTGGGTGTCAGCATGAGGGGTGAGGTCCACTGCTTGGGCATGGAAGCTAGACTGATATTTTCTGAATGGCCCAAGTCTCTTGGATTCTTAGAAAAAGAGAATTATAAACTTTGCAGCAGCCTGGATGGAATTAGAGTCCATAATACTCAGTGATTTGTCACAGAAGTAAAGATCTGAGTACCACATGTACTCACTCATAAGGGGACCCTGAACATTTATCGTAATACTATAAGAAAGGAATTGGCAGTAGTGGGACACTGCTGGGGGCGGGGGCACATAACATCAATAAGGGTACCCACACTTTACCTGTATAATGACCATGTATGTACCTAACCCTCATTTGTACTCTACACTTTCAAAATAAAATAAAATAATTTAAAAAATTAAAAAGAAGAAAAGTGAGGGGTAGAAGTGGGGAAGGCCTCGAGATAGTGATAATAAGCCTCCCGTTTATTTGGCAGGTAGTCCCCCTGACTATTTGTTGGAAAAATAAAAGAGATAAGAGTATCCGTATCCTGGATTTGTAGACCAGATATTGGCATGTTTTTATTCTACAGTGTCGGCTCAGGCCTTCTCAATTAACTTTTAATTCTCATTTAAAGTCCTACAATAAGAATCTCTCCACACATTGGGATAAATGAATATTTTAGCAAAAAATACTACGCAAGGAATCTCTCACAGAATATTCTTTTATAAGGCATTGATTATTTTTTCTTTCATTGATAAATGCCATATGTTACATTCATATATAAAACAAATAATGATTCCATATTTCATAGGAATTATTCGTGACAGTTGCACCAAATGTGAAATCATTCTGTGATGGAAGACTAATGGATTTTGACTGTGAGGCAGTAAAAGATGAGACCTCATATTCTCAGGAAAGACATGTTTAAGATTTTTTCCCCTGAATCCATTTTCCTTTTAAGAACATTTCCACAGTTAAGAAAATAATATTTTTTTCTTTTTCCATTCAGCTCAGGATTTTCTTTGCAGAAATAGATGCAGAGGCAGAGAACTATGAGCCTCACACATCATCATCCCTGAGGCAGAGGTGGGCCTGGAGCACCTACTGCAGGTTTGGGTATAGGCTGCTGGCGTCTAGCGAGCACTGTGTGTCCACGGCACAGAAGTAGGTGGCAGCGTGGCCGTGCTGCAGGGCTGCAATGTGCAGGGTACTGAGACGGGCTTTGGTATCAAGTGAGGCTGTTAATCGTCCCTCCTGCTTCACTGCTCCATTTGACAGCAATACAAACAGAGCTTCCAGGCTTTTCCCCAGACCCTGTCTGTACCAGTACAGTCTGTCTGAACCAGAGCTTGAATAATTGCAGGAGATAGTACAGTCTTCTCCCTCCTGGGTGCTCAGGGACAGAGGGCTTTGCTCCACCTTCACCTCTGCACTTGACCCTGTCCAAAGAGAATATTTTAGAAGGAGGCGTTTACTGGTTACCCCAATAATCCAGTTCTTCCCCAGGGAATCCAAATGAGTCACACTGAACCTTGTCTCTAGCACTGAACATTATATGAACAATTCATTTACCCCCATGGCTCCCTTTCCAGCAGACCCTTAACTTACAGTCTAGTTGAAAACACAGAATCACTGCTAGTAGCTTCTTCATTTTTTTTTTCTGTCCAGTTCACTGGAGACTCAGGTTTAGGAACCTTGAAAGCTGGCCAGAGCTCTCCAGATATAGTAGTGTTTTTTCTTTCTCTACAGAAACACAATTTCAACAGATGTTCCAACCAATTAGAATCTCATAATGCAATTCACTCAGTTCTTCCCTTTCATAAAAAAAAAAAAAAAAAAAAAAAAGGGCTTTGGAAAGAAGTTGTAAATGGAAACAGTGCCCTCTTCAGGATACTTAGAGAAGTTACAGAGGCAGCATTTTCACAGAACTGATGCTTTCGTGTAAGCTAGCAAGGTGTTCCTAAAAATTACCTAGCAAATTAATTATTTAAAATCTCATTGATTTAGTGCAGGCATTTTTCAAGTGACAGAAATGTAATTCAAATAAACTTATGTAAAAAGAACAAGGCATTGACTCCTGTAACTCGCAAATGTAGATGGGAGACTGGGCTTTAGGCATCCTGGGTGCCAGGGAACTTAGTCTTTCAAGAATTCTCCTTTTGTTCTGCTTCTCTATGTGTATTACCTTCATTTATTAATCCCAGATTCCACAACAAACCAGGAGACGTGACTGCAAACATTTTCTGACTGAGGCTCATCTCATAGTGTAGACTCTAAAGAAGTACCAAGATTCCCTCTTTCTGATCCCAAATTTAAAAATATTGGGATAAGGTCTTGATTATCTAAGTCTGAGCCAGGTTTTCCTCCAGGGGATCAGTATGTGACTAGAGTGGTGTGTACTTAATATGATGGGCTCAGCTGGGCCAAATGTCCACCTCTGTCTCATTCAGCAGCCCCTTCATATCTAAGATGGTAGTTGCCATTCATAACACATGATTAAAATGTATATTTTAGCCAGGCTTGGTGGCTCAGCCTGTAATCCCGCGCCTTTGGGAGGCTGAGGTGAGTGGATTGCCTGAGCCCGCGGGTTCGAGACCCGCTGGGCAGCGAGACCTCATCTCTACAATAAATCAAAAAAATCAGCCGGGCGTGGTAGCGCATGCCTGTAATTCCGGCTACTTGGAAGGTTGAGGCGGAAGGATTGCCGGAGCCCAGCTGGTCGAGGCTGCGGTGGCCGGGAGTGGCCACTGCACTCCAGTCTGGGTGACAGAGTGAGACTCCAACTCAAGAAAAAAAAAATGTATATTTTACCAAAGGTGAGTTGCTATTCTAAGTGCACAAAATTGTAGATGCCCACCACAATCATGCTGTCTCAACTCTGTTGACTATTAATGCGGGGCGGGGGGCGGGTAAAAGTAGGAGGAAGAGAAGGCTTTTATTTCTTTAGGGCTTCTCTAACATGAGTAGCTACTCCTGGTGAACCGGGTTAGTCTGTGACTCACCTTGCCCTTTTGCATGTGGTGTGACTTTTCTGTACCACGTTGACTCTTGGAGAACATTACAAATACCTCAAATACCTCTTACACAAAGTTGTGGAAGAAAGAACAAACTATGATAATAATAACTAATATGCATTGAGCTGTACTGTATGCCAAACACTGTGCTAATTGAATGCATACTGTCATTTAATCCTCAACACACATATTTTACAGAAGAGGAAACTGAGGCTTACAACTGGCAAGGGATAGAGTTGGAATTCAACCCACCTGTCTAACTATGGGGCTCATGCCCAGTCCTGAACTTTTCTGAGTGTATGTAACAGACTTCTGTTGGGACTTAGGGGATACAGCGTGAGGGCAGTAATTTTTCACCCATTACACTCATTGCAATCAATGTGGGACAGCTTTCTACGTATAATTTTTCTACCTTTAAAACCCGAAATTCAATCCTCTACTGTCTCAAGAAAAGGTCCTACTCAAATCCCCTTCCCTGCATGAACTCTGCATAATGAGTAAAACCACCCAACATAGATTTTTCTCTTTTTTATCTCCCCATAATAACACTTCATTTTATTTTTTGTTTTAAAGCTGTGGGGATACAAGTCAGGATTGGGTACATAAGTGGCCTAAGTACAGGTGACATTTGGGCCTCCCACTGGCCCTCACTTCACTTGGACTAGAATCAGACACCCTTATTGATTTTATGTGTCCCCTCTCCCTCTCCTGGCAGTGTCCTGCTATTGCCAGTTCCTTTCTTGTAATATTTTGATAGGCATTCAGGGTCCACTTGTGAGTGAGAACATGCGGTACTCAGTTCTTTGTTTCTGTGATAGATCACTGAGTATGATAGACTCCAAATCCATCCAAGTTGCAGCAAAGTCCATAGTCTTGTCCTTCTTTATGGCTGTGTAATATTCCATTGTGTATATGTACCACATTTTTTGAGAAATATGCATATATTTTATTTTATTTTAAATTTCTGAATTTGGGTAATGATAGGAAGCCTTTAGAGATAGAGTCCACATTTGATTTTCTAAGTTCAAAATAGATTCTTAAGTTTAAAATATCTTGATTTTCTTCTCTAAATCATCAAAACAGAAGGAAATATATTAGATGTTTGTTCTTAAAAACTTTTTCTTTGTATACAGTAGAGATATAATCAAATATTTTAACAGAGTTACCACTAAGTTTTCAGAAAAATCTTCAAGCAAAATGGAAATTAGCAATTTTTAATTTTATTTTAAAGATGTGGGGTACAACTCAGGGTTAAATATACAAATGTTCATTATGCAGGTCTCCTTGTTGAAGAGATGTGCTCCTCCTCCCTTGGTAGTTTCTCACTACAGTCAATCCCATCCTCCCTCCCCTAGCAGTATCCCACCACTGCCAATCTCTTTCTTATAGTATTATACTAATTGTTCAAGGTCCACTTATAAGTGAGAACATGTGGCATTCAGTTTTCTGTTTCTGTGATAGATCACTGACTATGATAGACTCTAAATCCATCCAAGTTGCTGCAAGGTCCATATGTTTGTCCTTCTTTACGGCTGCATAATATTCCATTGTGTATATGTACCACATTTAGAAAAAAATCCAGTCCAGTTTCGATGGGCAGCACGATTGGTTCCATGTTTTTGCTATTGTGAATAGTGCTGCAATAAACATGCATGCACAGGTCTATTTTTTGTAGAATGACTAGAATTTCTCCAGGTATATTCCCAAATAGGGATTCCTGGGTCATATAGAAGGTTAATTTCTAGTTCTTTTAGGAATTGTCACACTGTTTTCCGTAGAGGTTGAATTAGTTTGCACGTTCACCAACAGTGCAGAAGTGTTCCCTTTTCTCTGTGTCCTTGCCAGCATCTGTTTTTTTTTAAAAATTAAAAATGGCCATTCTTACTGGAGTTAAATGGTATCTCAATGTGGCTTTGATTTGCATTTATCTGATGATTAGTGAGGCTGAGAATTTTTTCATGTGTCTGCTCATATGTCTTCTTTTGAGAAGTGTCTATGCATGCCTTTTGCCCATTTTTTAATGAGGCTATTTGTTTGTTTGTTTTTTTCTTTTCAGCACCTTTAGTTCCTTGTAGATCCTAGATGTTAGGCCTTTGTAAGATATACACTTGGCAAATATTTTTTTCCCCATTCTGCGGGCTGTCTTTCTGCTCTCTTTATGGTTCTTTTGCTTTGCAGAAGCTTTTCAGTTTGATGAGGTCCCAATTGTCTATCTTATCTCTCATGGCATAAGCGTTTGGGGTTTTGATCTAAGAATCTTAGAAAATGCAGGAGACATCCAATTTCCATAAGGATGTCTCCCGCATTTTCTAAGATTCTTATAGTTTGAGGTTTTATGTTTAGGTCTTTGATCCATTTAGAGTTGACTTTTGTGTATGGTGATAGATAGGGGTCCTGTTTCAATCTTCTGCATGTGGTCAGTCAGTTTTCCCAGCACCATTTGCTGAATATGCTCTCCTTTTCACAGTGGTTGTTGATGGAGACTTTGTTGAAGATGATTTGGTTGAGAAATTGAATTTTTGCTTCCAGAATCTCTATCTTGTTCCATTGGTCTATATGCCTGTTCTTGCACCAATACCAGATTATTTTAATTATTGTAATCTTATAATAAAGTTTAAAGCCTGGAAGTAGGATACCTCCTGCTTTGTTTCTTTTGCTGAGGATTGTTTGTGGTCATTTTTATTTCCATATGAATTTCTGTATTGTCATTTCCAGTTCTGAAAAAAATGATATTGGTAATTTGATGGATATTGCATTGAATCTGTAGATTGTCTTTGGTAGGATGTACATCTTAACAATGTTAATTCTTTCAGTCCATGTGCTATGGGATATTTTTCCATTTATTTATGTCTCCTTTGATTTCTTTGAGCATTGTTTTGCAGTTTTTGTTGTAAAGGTCTTTCATATCTCTAGTCAGGAAGATGCCAAGGTATTTCTTTATTTTTTTTTCGTGGCTATTGTGAATGGGATTGTGTTTTTTATTTGGTTCTCTACCTGTTTGTTGTTGGTGTATAAAAATGTGACTGTCGTTTGCACATTTATTTTATACCCTGAGACTTGATCAAATTCCTTTATCAGTGCAAGGACTTTTTAGAGATTCCCTTGGGTTTTCCACGTATAGCATCATATCATCTGCAAAGAGGGATAGCTTAACTTCTTCTTTTCCTATTCGGGTACACCTGATATCCTTCTGTCTGATTGCTCTAGCTGGGACTTCTAATACTATGTTGAACAGGAGGGATGAGAGTGGGCAGCCTTGTCTTGTTGGTTTTCAGGGGAAATTCTTCCAATTTTTGTTCATTTAGTGATATGTTGGCTGTGGGTTTATCATAAAACTTTTTCTCTTTAAGAGCACTTGAGAAAATGAAAGACATTAGGAGAAATAAAAGACATTATATTCAAAAGTATATACCAAGTGCCCACCAGGTATCAAGTCATATAAAAAAATGATATGATGGGAATATCAAATAACTTCACAAGATCTGATTCTGGTCTAATGGAGTAGCAAGCGATTTAGAAAGGTTAAAATAAAACATGTAGCGCTAAAACTAACAGTGCAAGAAGAGGCTAGCAGAATAGCAGTGTGACGTTAGGGTGCAATTAAAAAAATAGGCTCCATATGAATTCAGAAAAGAGGGAGATTATGAAAGACAGTAGAAATGTAGGCCTGAAGAATATATACAATGTTTAGGTAGAGAAAGAGAGTTAAAGGTCATTTTAGAAAGCACAGGGAGGCAGGGGTAGAATGGGGGTGTCTTTGAGAAAGTGTTAAGAATGGTCTG